GTTTGCAACTATATGGGAGAAACTGGAGGGCATGCTGCTGAATGAGATAAAATAGAGAAAAACAACTACTGCACAATCTCACATGTATGTGGAATCTAAAAAAAGTTGAACTCATGGAAGCAGAGAGTGGGAAGGTGGTTACCAGGGGTTGGGGAGGGAAGGGGAGATGTTGGACAAAGGGTACACACTTATAGTTATGAGATGAATGAATGGCCAGAGTTAACAATACCGTGTTGTACACTTGAAGTTTGCGGAGAGTAGATCATAACACACACACACACACAAAGGGTAGCTGTGAGGTGAGGGATGTGTTAATTAGCTTCATTGTGGTGATCATTCACAGTGTGTATGTATACGGAGCCATTATACTGTATACTTTATTTTTTTAAAAGATTTATTTATTTGTCAGACAGAGAACACAAGCAGGGGGAGTGGCGGGCAGAGGGAGAAGCAGGCTCCCCACTGAGCAGGGAGCCCGATGCGGGGCTAATCCTAGGACCCCAGGATCATGAGCTGAGCCGAAGGCAGACACTTAACTGGCTAAGCCACCCAGGTGTCCCTACTGTATACTTCAAATATTTAAATTTTGTTTGTAAATTGTACCCCAATAAAGCCAGGAAAAAATAAATGGTTGTGGGGGAAACTGTCTCTCTGTTTTCATGTATGCCTTGTGTAATGACCAAATGTATATAATAAAAGAATAAAATACAAGTATTACATACTGTATGTTAGTTTATAAACACCTATATCCACATATATATATCTATGTATATGTATGCACGTAACTCTATATCATCATCATCATCATGCTCAAAGTTCAGCAATGAATTCACACCTTGGTGGTCAGCCTCCAAGATGACCCCCAGTGACCATCACCCCTACGAGACTTCACAACCTTGTGCACGTCCTTCCACTCTGAATAGGGCTGAACTGGTGCCATGCGAAGGATAATGTAAACATAATGGCATGCCCAAGGCCAGCTCACCAAGGACATGATGGCTTCCATCCTTGCTATCTCTGGGATCACTCCTCTGGGGGAACTCAGCAACATTCTGAGAGGTCATCAAGGCCACCTTATGGAGAAGGCCATGTGGCAAGGAACCAAAGCTTTGTGCCAACAGCCGGAGAGGAACTGAGGATTCCTGCCAAGAGTTTTGAGTGTCATGTGAGTGAGCCACCCTGGAAACGATCCTTCTATCTCCAGACTGTGCCCCAAATGACATCTTGATTATAACCCGAAGAGCAACCCCAAGCCAGAGCCAGCCAGCCAGCTCAGCTGCTCCTGAATTCTGGACCCACAGAAATGGTGTGAGGTGACAAATTCTTATTGTTTTATGCCACTATAGTTAATTGATAGGCATCTGGATTAAAATCCAACATCCTGGGCGCCCGGGTGGCTCAGTCAGTTAAGCGTCTGCTTTGGGCTCAGGTCATGATCCCAGGGTCCTGGGGCTGAGCCCCACATCAGGCTCCCTGCTCGGCGGGGAGTCTGCTCCTCTCTCTCCCTCTGCCCCTCCCCCCGCTCCTGCTCTCTCTCTCTCAAATGCATAAATAAAATCTTTATTAAAAAAAAATCCAACATCCTTACAGTGGCCCCTCCACCATTATTCCTCTGATCTTAATTATTAACTACTCTGAATTGCTCACTCCATTACAGTCCCATTGGCCTCTTTGCTGGAAGCAAGGCCCTTCTTGCTGTCCTCTCTGCTAGGACATCTGCCTCCAACTATCCGCAGAGCTCCCTCTCTCACCTGCTTATGTGTTTGCTCAAATGTCACTTCCTCAAGGTGACCTTCCCTAAGGGCCCTGGCTGGAGAAGCCCACCTACCCCAGTCATCCCCTTACTCTGCTCTGTTGCCTCATAGTCCCAGCATCAGGTACTCAATAATTTGTGGGTCCCAGAGCAAAATGAAAATGCAAAGCCCTCGTTCAAAAATGGCCAAGAATTTCAAGATGGTAACAGCAGAGCATTAAACCAATGTAAAGCCCTGAGCCTACACAGCTCCCACACCTACAAAACTGGCACTGCAAAGCACCGACCCTGGCCTGACATTATACGTCTCTGTTTATTGGCCTCCCCAGCTAGAACAGAAGCTCTAGGAGGGCAGGGACCCTTGTTCTGTTCACGGCTGAGTTTCCAACATCAAGCGCAGTGCCTGGTGCATCGCTGACATTCGCCAAAGATTTAATGAATGATTAAACAAGTAACAATGAAAGCAGCCTGACCCTGAAGGACAGAGAAGGCCCTCAGAAAAGGACTGTT